ACCCGTACAAACTCCTGCACCAAGCCACGAGCTACGCTACGCTTGGGATCAACGAACAGCCGTACTGGCTTATTGAGAGACATCTTGACGAGCTCATCGACGGAGTCCGTCATGGTAGCGGAAAAGAGCATCGTCTGTCGTGAAAGAGGACATGCTTTGATTATTTCACTTAGTTCATCCGCAAAGCCATCGGACAGCATCCTGTCGGCTTCGTCAAGGACGAGAATATCGAGTGCGTCAAGGGTAAATGCTGGGGAATTGCGGAGGTGATCGATAAGACGTCCGGGGGTAGCAATAATGACATCTGGCCGTGCTCTCAAAGCAAACTCTTGCGACTTGAGCGATAGCCCACCTGTAGAATCAATCTGACTAAGGTCAAGCCTAACAACAATGAGGAAGCTGGGCACGTACCAACTACAAGGCAGAACTGGATGTCCGTGTGAGTAGCTAACTTCTTGCCGACATCATAGCATTGGACAGCCAATTCACGAGTAGGGACGAGTATAAGACAGCGCGTCGCTGCTGACTTTTTTCCTCGATCCCGGTAGAGTAGACGCTCGATCATTGGAATAATAAAGGCAGCAGTCTTCCCAGAGCCAGTAACGGCATTACCAACAACATCTTTTCCCAGGAGACCAACAGGAATTGTGGCAATCTGAATCGGAGTAGGGGTATGAAAGCCAAGAGACGTAAGGGCTTTAAGAACAGGGCGGGATAGATTCATGGTGAGGAATGATGAATGTTGCTCGGTAGAGGGGGCGTCCGAAGAAAAGAATGCTTTCTTTCTAGCCTTTTGGACCTCTGTATCTGACGCACTGTTGTCTCCAGAAGAGGACCCCGTGCCTTCGAATTCGGATTCTTCCTCCTCTGGAGAGCCGTCGTTTTCGGATTCACTTCCAGATGTTGCCAAAGCATCATCACTACTTTGGCCCTCCTCGTCCTCGTCACCCTCAAGAACAGAGGACCCCCAATCAGAGGGATCTTCTATCCCATCACTACCCTCACGGCTTTTGCGCTTCACGGAACTATCGCCAAACCTTCGCCTTGCTATAATAACATCCACGGATATTGGATCCTAGTTTTATTGTTTCCATCAGTGAGCAGCGCAAAGCACTGGGTGAGCGCACTGGTCTAGAGCCACTCTTTACTATGTCCGTAAACTTCGCCCCCTGGAGCAGGTCACTATAAGGATCTCCAGAAATATCGAATGTGAACGCGGGGTCCAACTGTGCCTCATCAGCTTTTTTTGCTCGTAACTTTTGTGGGCGTGAGACGACGTCTGAAGAAGACTCATCAGCAGACTCTAAAGTCATAACAAAGCCATCGGAAGTCATAGAATGTTAATGAAGTAGCGTGTACTATGCACTTAAGTACAGTACCCACAGCTTGAAAAGAAAAAGAAAAAGCTGTAGCGTCACCTGACCGTGTACACTACAAGTTATTACCAACGACCTTTGTGCCTTTGATAATAATAAATCGTAACCCTTTTCCCTGTAACCAGCATATCAACGATGCAAATACACGACCTATGTTCCCTCGCTGCTTCAGAAAATTTCGGAAGCCAGGAAACACGAAAGACGACACATCCTCCATTTCAATATCCTCGTAACCAATTTCTCTCACTTGCTGTAGGTATTGCTCTTTGGTAACCATGTTTTCTTTTGGCATGACGTGAAGCACGCGCCACAAGAAGAGCTTGAGTATTGGGCCAGGTGGTACGGCGAAGCAGAGGTCTGCCAGAGTAATATTACCGCCAGTGGCTAAGCGCCGGAAAGACTGACGAAGAAATTCTTCACGTGTGTTGAAGTGGTACGCGCAGTCGAGTGCAAGAATACTGTCAAACTGATGCCGGAAGTGAGGGGAGAGTGGATGGTCTCGATTCTCTGATCTCCAAATCGCGTCACCCTCGAATAGAAACACCGTGGGTTTATACGGGGCATCAGCGGAATCAGCGGATGACAAAAACTTGTCCACCCTTTCCTGGGAACGGCGATGGTGGGACGGAAGGCTGGTTATCCCACATAACAGTGCCGGCTTGGTTACTTGCGGATGCGACAGCTGCAGAAGGATTGAATCGCCACTGCCATGACCAACGTCTGTCCTGCTTCAGAGAGTGTCCATGAGGATGATTCATAAACATTTACCTAGAACTCGCCCATCAGGCTTAAGGGAGGCGGCACGAAATAAACGAAGAGCAAGAGCTACAACCGTTGGTGGTATGAACTCGAACCATTATTGAGGAGAGCTTCGCGAAATACCTTGGCACGCTTCAGGGAAGATTTCAGTATCCTGCACAACAATCAACCTGGGAGTGAACAAAAACGAAGTGGATGTTCAAGTGGCAGCACACTGAACCTTCCAAAATCCCATGTTCAGCCATTCTGTACGTGGGGGGTCAGGACCGCCGGGAAGTTTGTTGAACGAGATGTGGAATGTCCCATATGGATCTTTTGCTCGACGATAGAAATACACGTAAGAGAAGAAGATTGTGACGAAAATGAGGGTATACAATGCAAGCATGTCCTTTCGTGGTGCAGGCGCAGGATAGAGATAGAAAATGGAAATCAACGTTCGTCGCCGTGCCAAACAAACCGTTGGCGTCCTCCATTCTACAGGTCAATTTATTTGAGACATCTACACATTCGGTTCGCGACCTGTTATGTTGGTGGTGGTGGTAGTAGTGGTGGTAGTGGTATGGTGGGATGTCGAAAAAGTATATAAACGGGTCCCTACATATCTACACACGAGGTATCAACCTCCTTCCATACACTACATACTCAGTATGCACGGGCAAAGGCAGGATAACTCGCGTTGCAATCTATTCTACAAACCCACTTTACGCTTTCTCGACCGGGTTCGTTTGCAATATTATCCCCAGCAAATATTTGGGCGGGTCTGACGTGCAGGATATTATAGACCAACCTAGTGGTGACGGCTCTGACAGCGTTCACTGTGCTGTATACCCGCTCTGCTGGCGTTGCATATTTTTCTGCAGGAGCGCTAGCCTGCGCGATGTCCGTTAAAGCCATCAAACCATTTTTTCGGCAAACGCGTCCTGCCCAAACCACCCAACGAAAGCAGAAACAGACGTATGGGTATGTAACAGGAGGGCATACCTTTTCACATTTCCTCAACATCGCCTTCCTCTAGGATGCCGAGTACGCATTCTGCTACCATCACATTCTACGGGACCTACATTCCCCTTGCGTGTGCATGGTTGCCGTCGCACCCATCGTTCCCGCAAACTTCTCTGTTCCGTCCTCTCGTTCTGTTGGTCGTTGTTCCGTGGGCGTTCGCCATTGCCGGTTCTAGAGTTTGGTTAGGGCACCACACTGTGCCGCAAGTAGCCGTGGGGTGTGCCTACGGGTTTGCCTTTTCGTGCGTGTGGTTTTGGCTCTGGACACATGGACTCGGTGTGTTGGGAGGAATGGCCGAGCATCACGTTCGCGCATATATAGGATAAGGGCAAGAGTTTTGAGAAATCAGGATCACGTCATTTCAGGCGAAGTTTGTTCTGGAACCCAACCTGCATTCGCTGGTGGTAATGGTCAGGTAGTGTCTCGAATCCGAATCCTAGGTGTTAATCATGGCGCGACACATGCGTCTGCATTGTGGGAGAAGTAATGATAGCGTGAATTCCAGCACTGAATTCTGGAACAAGGCGTTCAATTTGTTGTATTATAACAGCGCCAATCCCGGACAAGTTACGGGGGTAAACTACCTAGGACGCCGGGTCATCGCTTCTGGTCATTGCCTTCCACGCACGGTTAATGCTGGAGTAGCAACGGGGACATAAGTGGTGCGCGAGCTTTGCTGACCCACATCCCGGGCAGTGCACCAAGTCTTAAAGTAAAAGATTATTGAGAGTGAGGTAGACACCCCACGGGAAGCTACACACTTTGCTTATCTTTAAGACCTTTGTTTGCGCTGCGCATGGCCTTCCGAGAGTGGGAGACCTTCTTTTTGGGTACAGCGAGGAGGAATGGTGGAATGAGGTCGTGAAGAGATGGTAGTAGTAATGACCATGAGGTCCCAAACATGGTGGATGAGGGGGAAGCTGAAGCAAAAAAGATGGAAGACATTGCGACGAGTTGACGAGGAATTACTAAATATTGGTGTAATAGAACGGAAGTCATAATGATAATGACCAGAGCCGCCTGAGTTCGGTGGTGGTGTGTGGTGGTGGTGATGGTTGGTGGTTTTGTTAGTTATGCACGTTTGAACTCCGACAAGCACCGTAGACGGAGAGCCAGTGCAATTATTTCCACCTCCACCTCCACCTCCACCTTCACCTTCACCTCCTCAATAGGTGACAATGCTTCGATTCACGCGACCGTTACTTCAAGTATCCAAATTATCTACTGGCATTTATGGCCTGGCAGTCCACCCTAACCCGCTACCGGAGCTGACCAAGACCTACGAATCAACTCTGGCAGCGCTTTCATCTATCCCTGGGCATGCCGCCTATCGTCAGGGAACGGAAGCCCTCACTTTAAGAAAGTTGAAGATCGTGCAGAATGCGAATGGAGATATCGCAGAGGTGGAAAAGCAGCTAGACGAGGGGCAGATTGAGCAACTCATTGCGATTGCGAAAGATGAACTCAACTTGGTGGGGAAAATGGTAGAATGGAAAGCGTACGTCTGTATTCTATTCTATGTACGGTGTTTTGGAGATTAACCCAAGATAGATGGGAAGCCCTGGAAGAGAAGCCAGAACCCGGACAATGGGAGTACTTTGGCAAGACTTCCACCGCGTCTTGAAAGTGTTTTCGGCAGCGGCAGCAAGCTCTTGACTCAGGGAATTACGACCTATGACTACGTGTGTACTCCCGAAAGAATGATGTGCGAGACGCATACGAGATCATCCTGTGACTAGGGAGTTTGTAAGGGAGTGATTACCAAAAATATAAAATATAATGATCAACCGAAGAGGGGGGGGTGGAGATACGTCACACGTGACCGCTCACTGAAAAAAAAAACAACCAAAACAAAAAGAAAATCGCTGACAGCAGGATTTGAACCTACGCGGGCAATGCCCAAGTGATGACGACACGAATACGCGATTCAAATCACTCGCCTTAACGACTCGGCCATATCAGCACGTTAAACTTTGATGACATCGGGGTATTAGTGCCTTGCGCCTTGCTGTTCACCTTTGACCACCCTTGTGCTGGTTGCTGGTTGTCACACCCCGTCCCACTCTCACTTCATTTCTCTCATAGCGTCATCCCACTTAACCTCTCCGGAGCCAGAGCACAGTCGCGAACGCGACCCATGGACTCCCTCATTCCATTCACAACATCCGGCTCTCTAGTAGACTGTGTGGACAGTACGTCTGCTCGAGCCCCGCTGCCTGTGATCAGTCAGGTGCATCTCCGCCCTCTTCTTGTCCCCAGGAAAGATGCTTGTTGTCCTCCGAGATGGCCGGAAACTCCATGGAGTCTTACGCTCCTATGACCAATTCGGTACGCCTTCATCTTTCTGTTCCGAATGTGTACGCCGAAATCCGAACGTCCGTCTTCTCGGTTTAGCGAATCTTGTTCTCGAAGACACAGTAGAGCGAATATACGCTGGAAATACATTTGCTGAAAAATGGTGTGGGTTGTTCCTCATTCGAGGAGAGAACGTTGTCTTGCTAGGGGAAATTGTACGCACTCTCTTCGCACTCATTTCTTGGTTTTGATTTGATGATTCACAATTGCCTAATAACAGGATCTGGATCAAGAAGATGACGTCCCACTACGTCAAGTAGATTACAAACAACTCGATGACTACTATCGACAAGATGCTGCGGCGAAGAAACAGCGGGAGGAAGCAAAGGCAAAGATTTTGTACGAGCAGAAAGGTTTCTGCAAGGAAGGAGGGGAGGGGGATGGTTATTGACCTGCATCGCCTTTGGGTCCCCACTTCTCTGGTATATTCATTAAGCCCCAGGGAGAGGAGAGCGGGGACAATTCACCGGTTGTAGAATACGCTTGTAGGTCATTCGCTCATCACACGATTGTTCCCAGCATATCCAGTCTATCTAACAAGGCTGCGCCCGAAGGAAGACCCGACCCTGACCGCCTTTCTACTCCTTCCTCTTCTTTCCCTTCTTGCTCTGATCACCATTGGGCTTGTGCTTCAATTGTCCATTAACGGCGGGCCTTGATAGAACAGGGACCCGAGGTGAGGAAGGCTCACGGATCTTAGTTTTACCAAGATGAGCTTGTGGATCGAGAATATCCTCCACACGTTTCCGAATCTCGCGCTCAAGCTTTGTCAACTTCTGTAATGCCTGGTCCTTCGTCTCTTTGTCGAACTCAACCTCAGCCATGCGCAACTTCTGCCAACTACCATACCCCATAAAGCTATCAGACACAAGCCTGGCAATTAAAGTTGGACGCACCCAAAATGTCGATCGCACTTCTTTTTACCCATACACCACCATTCTGCTTCCTCCTGCGCGCCATCCATATCGACTTGGGAATGACCCTCTTCATAACTCTCCAATACACTGGTACCAAACTCGGTCACCTCTTCATCTCCAAAGCAAAGTCGCTGGTCCCAACCACATTGGTCGATAGTATCTGCGTGTTGTATTGCGAGTTCAGTCACCTTTTCGCGCCACGCGACAACGTCCATTTCGGCTTTCAGCGCCTCGCGCTTTTGAACCAATGTTTCCAGACGTTCGCGCAGCCTTGCAAGTTCGCGATCTGTCTTGGTAATTTTCGGCTGGACAATGGTCAACACACGTCCTTCCATCTTCATAGTTGAACGAGATTGCTCCTCCATGGCGTGCGCCAATACTACGACGCCCTCGCGCCTCTCTGCGTTCTTCACGGTGTCCCAGAGCCGGTCACGGCTCCCGCCATTCTCTACCCAGAGAGAGATGCGCATGTGCATGTATTGCACACCACACTCGTCAGAGCAGTATTTGGAAAACGCGCCGCGCGCAGGTTTGTGGCATGAATCAGGTGAGTTTGGATCGACTTGCTGAAGACCGTTGAGGCAGCGACGTTTCCAGGTTGTGCGTAGGTCCAGGTGAGGGTTTTCTGGAGATCATAAACAAAACTTAGCAAATAGAACGTGTGGTAGCTGGGAAAGTCACGAACTCTCTACGCAAAGTGGGCAGATAAACTGGTCAACAAGGTCAACCTCCATGTCTGGCATGTTGACGCATGATGTGTGATACCATTCGTCGCACCTATGTAGGGCGCAGGATGAGCTTATTGCATCCCACCTAACAACTAACGGGCGGCAGCGCACCGATCACAAGCAATCATCACCCTCTCGTCGTCATACTTTGTCTTGCAGATACAATACAGCTTGTCCTCCATTCCTTCCTCGCTGTCATCAGGCTCCACTTCGACTAGCGCTCTGATCTCTGAACCGGGTACGGGAGTTGTACCCACGGGCATGACTGATGTGGATCTAGACCGCGCGGCAATGGCTGATTTCTTTATGGCAGCGGTTGACAACTTCTTACTTTTCAATGATAATCCATCAGCAGGCACCTTGGGCTTCCTCGTCGAACCGCTTGGCTTGGTGCGACTTTTGGGTTGTGAATACTGCTTTGCCTTGTAAGAGTCAGATGAATGAGCGAAAGCCAACATCGATTCAATCACCTTCTTTTTCTGAATTGGCCGCTCCTCTAGTTTCACAGTGCTAGTTCCAGAATCACGAGATGGTACGACTGTATCTAAGGAGAGCGTTGAGACTCTTTCCGGTTTGACTGAAAGGGCAGTTGAGGTAGATGATGGGTACGGTGGTATGGGCGTGTCAAACGTGGGCTCTGGCTTAAGAAGAGGAGAACAAGATGAAGGATTATCTTCAGTTATAGAAGGATCTTGTCTTGAGATAGGGTGTAGGATACGTGAGGGCAAGTCGTCCCCGATGAGGCTGAGAAGCTCCTCATCAACATCCATGTCCGCATGCCTTTGCTCAGCAATTTGGGTCAGTTTCGGGTCAGTTGTGAGGCTTAGCTTTGGAGCGCCTTCTTTGTCAACATCGACGTTCATCGAGGTAAACGCGTCGTCCATCCTCGGTACCAGGAGGGAGTTCGCCTTCGCGGCCGGTGGAGTCGAAGCGGGCGACACCCCTGATTCAGGCCTTCAAGTGGATTGAGTGAGGTTTCAGCGTTCACCGGGTTGTTGGACTCTAAAACCGGAGTAACGACGTCAGTCTTGGAAGCAGCATCCATCCCGGTCACCACTGAGTGGTCGATGGTCATCTCATCTTTAGAACTCAAAGCATCAGGGGAAGAAACACGTGGTAGTGGGGCAGTGGGGGGAGGGGGATCGGTCTCCTGTTCTGGTGAGAGTTGATTGAGAGCGTCTTGGCAAGGAGGCGGGCTAATGCTAGAGGTTCTTTGAAGCGACTCATGGTCTGGGGCAGTCTGAGCGACGTCAGCGTCGTGAACCTCGGTTGTTGATAGTGGCGAAGGCTGCTGGACAAGTTCTGTCGAACCAGGGAGATCATTATAAGCATCAGACGTGGGTGGGGCGACGGGGTCGCCCTGCTTTGCGGTCATTTGATTGTCGGGTGACAAAGATTCAACTGGCATCACGGAGCGCTCTTGCATGGTGGAGAGTGGTGGGGCTGTAGAGACCATCGTTTTCTCCGGGCTGGCAGCACTCTGCATCTCAGCAGAGCTTGTTACAGCTGCAACAGAAGAGGGCAGGTTGTCATGCGGTGGGGTGCGCGCTCGTGGACTACGCTCCTCGTTTCCTTCCCGCATCAGCGATTCTCGTTGTGAAGCAGATGGTGGGGACGCCAGTTGTTCCAAGGGTGTGAGAAATGCTTGGGAGTGTGGAGGCGATGGCAAAGTGTCCCACTTTTCCTGAATTAATCCAGAACGTGAAATCTTGCGTGGTGGCGAATTCAAACCAACGTTCGACCGTGAATCGTGGTGTCCATTCGACTGTGGGTCTTCGGTCGCGAGGATTTGCCGACCCTCATCAACAAGGACAGCCGCAGAAGGTGCTGGCCCGCGATGATCCAAAGCGTGGGATTGAAAAGAATGCTCTTCTGCCAGTAGTTGCTTTCTCGCCGGTTGGTCTCTCGGTGGTGACATGCGGCTACGCAGAGCACTCGCTTCCTCTGCGTCCCGTGAGGACGTAGACAAGTGCGGCTCTGTACGAGCCCCTGACGATAATCTACGTGGCTTCATTCCCGGACCCATCAGACCACCAAATTGAGAGGATGAATCCGGTGAATCCCAGCTACGTTCGGAACCAGAAGAGGTATTCGACTGACGCCGACGCTTGGAGAGGTGAACTTCGGGACTGGCGCCCATTCTGAGAGACGACTCAGAATAAGAGTCCCGCAGAAGAGGTCCCGAGATGATGGAGGGTGCAATGGCAGTGCGCGGTGCAGGTGCCTGCAAGTGCATGCGAGGCGCCTCATGCGACGAACGGAAGAGCAAGTCGGGGCTCGTTTGAAGGGTGGGCGAGAAGCATCAGCCTTGCGATCAAGACTGGCCTTGGCCTCAAGCCTATCCCGCTCGGCTGTAGCAGCCTGTACGAGGGCTTCGAGTCCTCCTAGAGAAGACTGGTGAGGGGAAACGGGATTCAGGAGAGTCTGGGGAAATGACGAGGATGATGTCGTCGAAATACGAGACAGTGATGAGTGGTGTATTAAGGATGAAGCGACAGGCTCTGTGTGGCTGTTGTGGTGAGATTGTCGAAGTTTTGGGGAGACGGAGGCCTGAAAAGACGAGTCCTGGTGAGACGAGCCAGAAAATGAAGAAGAATGATAGTATCCTCCAGGGGATGGGGCCGAACGTTGAGTATAGAGGAGAGGGGAGCCAGGAGAGCGAATTGAAGGTGGGCGTGTGAGTGAAATGGTTGAAGCGGGAGAATCAGAGGATAAACACGTCGTTGGGAAAGGGGACTGGGAGTACGTGGGGCGAGAGGGTGAAAGAGGCATGTAAGATGACTGTAGTTGCTGGCTGGTTCGCAACAAGGAAGAGGACAAGGGCTCCGGGTCGTGCTGGTTTGATTGAAGGGAAGGAAACAAGTCTTGAGACGGCGTATTGTATTCAGGGCGTGAAATCGAAAGAGGCCAGACGTATGAGGGAGGCAGGGACAAATCAGGGGAAGGGGTACGACGAGGAGCAG